GATTAACGCAATTGAATTAAGAAGACACAGGCACAACGAATGTACTGTATTTAGAATTCGAAATCGAGCATTCAACAACAACAAAAGAATCATTAGTTAATTCAAACACCACAGTTATCTGATCGTTTTGAGCGTTCTACTTCAAAAATTGTGTAAACAGTATAATTTGCGCGTCTTACAGAATTGAAAATCTTCATCAGGGAGCATTCACTTTTTTAATTGACATCCTGTTAACGTACGAACGGTCATTTAAGGTCATTTCCTGCCACTCAACAAACTAATTTTAGACATCTACAATCATAGATAGCAAAGTCGGAATGGAGAGCACGGAACAGCAATAGCAGTAAGTACTACAACGTACACGTCAAGCGTGCCATAATACATGTGACAGTTTATTTTATGATATGCTAGATATTAGTCAATTTGTTTAATTTTGCCAGGGACGATAGTATTAAAAACGATCAAACACTTAAACTTCCCATTATGTCGCCTGAGGGATTGAATATACTTACAGATGTAGGCATATTTAAGATAGTTTTAGAGAAGTAAGCGTCGATGCAGTGAGCAGTGGATGAGAGTGATCTCATGTTACGGACAGACTGTGGTAAATTATTCCAGATTTTTGAGAATTTGACGATGAAGTAGTTCATAATGAAAGAAGATACGGAATGAGATTGTTTCACTACTGACACAAAGTTGCGGATTCTGCTTCTCTCCCTTTCCTTGTTCTCTCTCTTTTTCAGCACCATAGTATACCACAGAAAATATTTGTGAAACACCCGACTTTGCTCTACGCCATCATTTATACCTTCGGAATTCATCTGGGATCATTATCCAGAAGTACAAATGAATACGTTCAAGTTAACTTCTTCGAGTTTTCAAGTTTTCAAGATTGGATGCTGACCATATGTTTTAGTGGACTCATCTAGCTGAAGGCGCTCAGTCATGCATCCCCACCAGATCACGTGTAGTGACGCTGTGCTCAACATCTACCGCAATCGCTAGTCAGATTAGGTCAGAGAATTCCGATATACTGGTTATCGCCAAATACGCTCTTCCGATCTCCTCGACTCTGTCTTTTGATTTCTCTTGATGGGTACGAATTATATTAGGTGTTGCTGGTAAAAGTCAGGTTAAACGAAAACATCGGTTGATTGTGGTCGAGTGGAAGCAGGTTTAACTGAACGCATCGCGTTTGTAAGCCTGTTCGTGTAGGAGGTTAGATCCTTGTTTATCGAAGAGGATGAAGGATCCACGAATTCTCCTGGAAGTCGAAGTGTCGTTCCATAAACGAGTTGAGACGCAGTGTATCCAATGTCAGCTTTCACTGCATTGCGAATACCTAGTAAGACGAGTGGAAGAGCGTCGGTCCACTGTAAAACGTTTGCAGCTGATAGTGAAGCTTTTAGTTGTCGGTGAAAGCGTTCTACCAACCCGTTTGCTTGTGGATGGTAGGCGGTCGTTCGGAAGCGAGTGATTCCTGGAAGTGTGGTCAGACGATGGAAAAGTTCAGATTCAAACTGACGTCCACGGTCTGTAGTGACGGTTGAAGGGCAGCCGAAGTCTACTACCCATCGTTCGACGAAGGTGCGGGCCACTGTTTCAGCAGTGATGTCCCTGATAGGTACTGCTTCTGGCCATCGAGTGAAACGGTCTACGCAGGTTAAGAGATAAGAGTGTCCGTTTGAAACTGGTAAAGGTCCTACCAAATCCTGATGAACATGGTGGAAACGAGCATTGGGAGTTTTGAATGAGCCTAAGGGACATTTATCGTGTCTGATAACCTTAGATTTTTGGCAGCTTACACAAGAGCGTGCTCACTACCTCACGTCTTTATTCATGCCAGGCCAGCAAAACCGTTCTGCTGTAAGCTTGATGGTTGTACGAACGCCTGGATGAGAAAGTTTTTGCAATTTATTGAAGACATTGCGTCGATAATGTTTCGACACGATTGGGTGACCCCCACCCGTAGATGTGTCACAAAGTAAGATTTCCTAACCTTTTCTCATATGTTTGATGCGTAGTTTCAGGGTTGTAGACGATAACTCGTGCTGAAGATCAGTGTCTTCTTTTTGAAGCTGAGCGAGTTTAAGAAGGTCGATTCCCTGGAAAGCGTTCAAGGAAGTTATGCGAGACAAGGCGTTTGCAACTACATTGTTTGCTCCAGAAATATGTTGAATGTCTGAAGTAAACTGCGAAATGTAGTCCAGTTGTCGAGACTCACGAGGTGAGTACTTGTCTGAAGAGGAGCTTAAGGAGAAAGTGAGAGGTTTATGGTCAGTAAAAAGGGTGAATTCACGGCCTTCGATGTAGTGTTGAAAATGCCGTACAACACAATACATAGCTAGGAGTTCCCTACCGAATGTGCTGTACCTCGAGTCGGTGTCTAGCAACCTTCTAGAGAAAAATGCCAAAGGTTGCCAGGAGTTGTTAACCCATTGTTGTAAGACTCCTCCGATTATTGAGTCGGATGCGTCTACTACGATACTAATGGGTGCTCGGGTGTCCTGATGTGCAAGACTAAAGGCATCGTTGTCGACGGATGTGAGGAAACAAGCTGTAATTTTATCCTTGACACATTTTCTTGCCGTACACGAAGTTTTACATCGACCCATATGGTGTTCAAAAACCACCACTTACGTTTACATTTCGTAGTTCAACAAAAGTGTTTTGCCCTATATGACCAAAAACTTCAGACTGGTTGCAGAGAACAATGTATATTGTTCAGTTATTGATTTTTAAAAGAAATTTGTCATTCGTTTGTATAAGTAATCGGTCAAACTTTTGTTCCTCATGTTGATTAATATTCTTAGTAGGAACTCACTTATAAATCAGACGCCATTCTGAATTATCAGGTTTTCCTAAACGATCACTGAATAAGAGAAATAGTCAATCTTAATATTTTGTCACAATACTTTCATAATAAACATTTCATTTGATAAAATGGTTACTGTCTGTAGTTATTCGAACGCCAAATGAAATGCTCTTTGAATTACGGTCAGTTGATTTACTAGCCATATGTATAAACCTGAATTTTAGACTTCCGTTCGTTCTAAAAATTAGCAAAAATAGCATTGTTCATTCTGCGAACACCATTCATGTACACGATTTAGTCACATAAATTGTCAGTCATTTTCTCAACATCTCACAGGCAATGACTGTTCAATGAGACCGAGTACCGGTTTCCTAAATGCTTGTTGTTGATAACACAATCTCAACTACTGAAGTCACTGTTTGACCCCTTTATATGTAGATTAATACCTGTCATAAATAAGTATTATTTAGACACAGGAAGGACAAAGCATTTGTCACCAATTTACCATTCTAAAACGTAAAGCGTCCTTGTTTTCAGACAGCAATATTATGAACTATTTTATTGTTCTTGTCTGTATGAATAACAGAATTGTTAGGTGCTCTATTGAGCTTTTCTTTAAGTGCTGCCAAGTTGTAAATGTTGTCACTTTTTATTGGCTACTGTTTGTCAAAAAGCGTTATCAAATTGAGATCAAATGAATCAATAATTTGTTAGGTTTTGATGCATATATACATCTTTAAGACTATTGTTTTTGCTATCTAATACTATAATACCATGAAAGTATTTTGCTTAAAGAGGGGGAGCTCACCTTTTAAATCGATGAGTCTTGTTATTACAATCACTGGTTTAATTATCACTGTATTTATCTATTTGTTATCCATGACAGTGCTAACAAAAGATATAAAAAATACTCAAAATCTTCAGAAAGTAACCAAAGTTAGTTTATTTACTTTTTATTTCGACGTCTTTTTAAACGTAAATTTTTTCTCATTCGTACTATAATTTCGGTAGTTTTGATGGTTTAATAGACAACATTCAACTGGAACAGTAATATGTGCTTTTTGGAATTTCTAGATGAAATGTAGCTGTATTCAGTCACATTATGGTTAATGAATCGGTAGGCAGGAAACCGTGAACCTATTATAAACATATAATCATGTTTATAATTTAAGTGAAAGAATTTATGTGGTAAAGTTCTTTAAATAGTAGGAATTTGATTCTGGTGAGTTACTTTCCTATAAGCTAGGTGGAGATTGAAAAATTGATATTAGAACGTAAAATAGTAAAGGTCAATAATTACTCAATAGCTCATGTGTTCTTCAAGATGAGATGAGGTAAGAAGTGAGTTAATGATGTTCAGACTTGTTAAACGATATACCTCGATAACTACGTGTTTCAGCTTCTGAAGTAGTTTATGGATTTCTGATCACCTTTCCAAACATATAAACAATAATACTTTACTAAATACTGGTTTGCTTCTGTTTTTAGAACTACTTTCATGTTAATGAATATACAGATGAAGTCTTTGCAATTGAACCACCTATTTCAGAAAACACAACACGGCCAAATATAGTTAGAAATAAATATTTAGTAAATCATCGTCACTGTACTTAATATTACTGCAGAATAGGTGATACCAATCTCTAGATAATAAATACACTGTTTATAAACTCATGCTTCAGAAGAGTTAAATTTAAATGAACTAATCTCGAACTAGTCATATTTTACATAAATTACGGGATACAAAATCTAAGTTGTAGTTTGGTTGGTGTTGACATAATTAAAGCTATTCACAGCTGTTCATCTATAAACGATGCTCAGTTTTTCAAGTTTAAGAAAAGATAAAATACAACGTTTTGCGAGTCTTATTCCTATGCTTATTTCATCCTTATTTATCGTATCCTGTCACTATTGTTATCAATATTATTTTCAGAATAATAAAATTCACATAGTTTCACTGATTGAAGGTGATAAAGACTTCAATTATATAAATGTACTGATCAAATCTATACTGTATCACCAAAAACGTTTTCATTGTCAAAATAACAAATGTTGTCTAGGTGACTTGTGCAAACGAAGCAAGACTGGAAACTTTCCATGTTCACATAAGAAAATACTGAAGACCGATGGTCCGATAACTTTCCATTTTATTACTGATAAACCCACACGACTGAAATTTCAAAAAATGGAACAAAGTTGGCAATTGATAAATGTGAAATTCCAATTTTACGAATACCAACATTATTTGGTTTGTTCGTTTGTTATCATTATTTTGTTTTTTTGTTTGTGTACAAGTTATACCACTTGGTGAAGCGTATTAAAAGATACTTCACGTACAACTCAAATGATTACTATCACACGATTTTTATCATTATAATTACTATATCCAACTTTGTGATGTAAGAATGTTGAATATTATAATCCAATGATCAATACCTCAATTGTTTATAATGTATTGAACTGAGGTAATCATGCCTATTGAAGGTGCTCACATCCCTTTCTTAGCTGAGAAAATTGATAGTAAGACTAGGTTCTATCACGTAGAAACTGTTAATCTTTATTTTGGAAATTCATGTAAATTTGTCTAATACTTTGTTGAGTCTTCGTAAGTTTACATTTGTGGTGGACCAAAAAGTATAATAACCAAAAATCAGTGATAAAGTTATTACGTCCAAAATTAATGTAACAATAATACTTATAAATTAACAACACAAATTAAAAGTTCAGGGACGTTACTTAAATCGGCTAGTGGTTGCGTATTCCGTTGAGTTTTGGTCCCATAAATCCACAATTATAAATGCGTAATAATTCCACAGAGGTAAATATGACGGCAATAAGTTTCTCTGACGTAGGATATGATGGAAATGACACAGCAGTCTAAAATGAGGATAATATCCAGTTTAGAAAGCAATTGACGCGGTAACGAGCGAGAATAGAACAATGCGTATGTGCGTAGTAGTGTATTTGCGAACCACCGAAAGTATATCACGCTATGTTAGTTACACAACGGAAAAAGTCTTCAAGGTCATTTACTTAAACAACAGGTACAATCATTTAATGATAAATGTACATTCAGTGAGAAATTGACAAATACAAATATTAAAAACTATTTACAAGATAAGCTTGTCAGACCTATCTCCACACATTGTTAAATGTAGAAAAGAATGAAGCCAGTTCCACGTTTGCAAGAAAACTATTACTTAAAAATACCATAAAGCCATGAGCATAAGAAAATGTTTCCTAATATTTTAAGGCACAATGATAATAAACTTATACCAATACTTAACCCTTTTTTAGACCTATATGTTAGGAGATTGAGAGTGTGATTCAGACAGAAAAATGTCCTCTATAATGCAAATGCTTTATTGTGTTACTTAACTATAAAAAGTGTACCTAATGATCAAGGGTTTTAAAGTTAAATCGTATATTCATTATAAAAGCATACCCCGTAAGAACACTGGAACGAGTACAATGAATCTGTAATGATGTTTTTATTTATATACTCACCCGTTACTAATCCGCTTTTCTTCTTGCAGGATAAAATTGACGGGGTTCTATCAAAACGTTCTTCAGGTATTAAATCTTGTTTAAAATTATTATTACCCGAAATTCTTCCGAAAAGTGTCAAACAGGTATTGTCGTATTGATGTTAATGTTTTAAAAATGTTATGTGTTTTTTTAAGAAATATATGAAAGGATATTGATAAGCATTTTGATAGGTAATCATTCATTTACTTAACCATGATAAAATTCAGAACATTTAGGACAGTCCCTAGTAAATCGTTAAAATAAATTTCGAATTCCGAACAACTACTGTAATTTTTTCTGACGAGGATAATCGTGTTTTAACTTACGTTATTTTATTTCCTCTGTTAGCGAGTAGATCGGATTAAATGAATTTGTTTGCTTATAAACCACCATTTTGGCAATTATGCAAAACAGTTATTAAGTTTTTTACACATAGCTCCTTTTATTATCTTAAAGAGAACAAGAACAAAGATTGGTGCAGAACCATATGAATTCATTTTATTTCGTTAGGTTCTCATCAGCTGCTTACAACCTAAAATATTTGAAATTCAACATTATTACAGATATTGACATGTGTATACATAAGAGGGTGATTAAGGATGAATATATGTATCATGATGTAGCAAAGATTCAGATAGAGTTAATAAGGTCATAACAAATTTTTGTTTCAGATGAATAAAGTTTGGGAGGGAAAGTTCCAGAACATTGAAATAGTGATCAGAACTCATTAGATGATTGTGTAATGAAGCAGCTGAAAGTAGATTAATGGTAATAAAGAAAGATATGAGTTGAGACTAGCCAGCTATGAACTGAAGAAAAGTGACAATTATGTAATTTAACTTCAGGAAGAGTTGAAATAATGAATGACGTAATAAATAAAATAAGGGTTTAATGTTACCAAGGCAAAGGAAGATTTCTTACTGCCTCCTTTTGAATACATGGATCTGGTTTTAGACATTTGATTGCTGTCACTTCGGCAAATTTCAAAAGGTTGGAGTTTGATTGTTTGTTAATCACCTTGAAGGACTTCAGTGTATCGACTTCATGTCCTGTGTCAAGGAGATGTCTTGCGATGGACATATGTCCAAAACAACATGTTCTTCAACACAATCAAAGATCTATGGGTATCCCTTTCATGTTACCACCAACTGTGTATACAAATTTACTGCCAAATCAGTTACATTGGTAGAACAGAGATGAGAGCCTACGTCCGATTCAAAGAACATATTCCGAAAAGTTTAAGATTAAATGGATTAAAAGCATTCAGCAGTGCCATCGTAAGATATCCTTTTGACACAGGACATAATGTCGATACGCTGAAGTCCTTCAAGGTAATTAACAAACAATCAAACTCCAAACTTTTGAAATTTGCCAAAGCGATAGCAATCAAATGTCTAAAACCCGATCTATGTATCCAAAAGGAGACCTAAGAAAATAAAATGAATTCATATTATTCTTCACCAATATTCGTTCTTGCTTTTTTTAAGATGATTATTAAGTTCGTTGTGGTCAGTAATGTCTTTTATCCAATCGCTATCTGAACAAAATTCAGTTTCGGTCATAAGAAGTCATGTTTCATACGAATAACTTGGTTGTATTCTGTTTAGTACAGCAACAAAAGTACGTTATTATGTATGAATTGAAGGTTAGAGATGAAGTGGTTGCCATTTTATACTGTAGATATTACAATTCATTATAAGCAGTTAGCAGTAAATAAACCCTTTAATAAAATTACATCTCCTTATTGGGATGAACTATTAAAAAAAGTGAAGTTTAGGATTTACTCATTATACTTCATTTCGCAGGCGAACTTCATTGGGAACAAAATGTATTTTAAAGATCTTCAACTAGTGAGTTCGTAGTTTTAGGGATCACTTTTATTGTAGAAAATTTCTTAACTTATCTCTGTTTGGAGAAATGTCAACTAGCTGGAGGATATTTCAAAACATATATATGAGCAGATAAGTTTCGTGGAATCCCAAGATTCCTTTTTTATATTCGTTAATAAGTATATATCTACTCTGAATTATTATCAATTTAATTGGGAAGATTAAAATTGAATTTCATCAAAATCATGAGGCGATCTAAGTTAGACCACCGTTGCAAACCTAGAAGCAGTAGACGGCCGTTTTGTCCTAGTATAAGATTTCTCAGAAGTGCAATTCCACGATCCTGCATGCGAGAATCAAACACGGGACCTCTTGTCATGCGCGCGAACTCCTCAACTCTAGACCCTTGACTCTATATCCAACGGTGTACAAGTCTAATTTTAATAAATCTACGAAATTGCACGACAATTCATCATAGTTCTCCGTGTGTGACCGCTTCATATCTGACGCGGCTTAGCTCTAAAGACAACGGCTACTCACTATAACTCTGGAAATCCCATCTCGGAACTGGTCACTAGTGAGCATATGATAATTGTCAGTAAGGGGTTGTTGAGATTGTTTAACCTGAGGAGTTAAATACTAGGACGAAATTGCCGTCCAGTGCTTCCAGGTCCTCAGTGGCGGTCTAGCTTAGATCACCTTATGATTTCAATAAAATTCAACAATCTCCACAACCTCTTAATGATAAAAGAATATCCCTCATAACGTTTGATTTCCATATTATTCTTAAAACCCCCATGATGGCTAAATCAAAAAATATATGCATGCTTTATTTCATTGTTGATCGTAGATTACTGTTGACTTAATTATCTACCCCTTGACGTCAATTTTGACCTGTATAATTGATATACCTATTTTCATATACCATTCTCATATATTGGTTATCAATCTAGAATATTTCAGGGCTTTGTTCTAAACTCAAATGCGGTATCGTCAACACACTTCACATATATCACTAGCTGCACGTAGTGTTTCGCTGCTAAGTTTAACACAAAACTTTTAAAGAACACATACAACATTCGTTATGCACATTTGCTGAACACAATTAACTGTTCACTTCGTGGTTTGTTTAAAAAGACGTTTAACTGAAGAACTGAGTAGCATAAATTGGAAAAATGTTACTTTACAGCTCACCAACTTGCCTCTATAATCGTTTGATACATTATCCAGACAAGTAGATATCGTATCTAATCAAATATGCTCCCATTTATAAATCTGAATTTGAAAGTAAATAGATTTGAGATTACGTGTCTATAACTATTCTCCGAAGAAAATGAATAATAGGATTTTCATGCAATTGTGTATACCATAATTGCAATCTAACAAAACATTACCTAAGTGACATATAAATTAGATAACTTTTCATTAAGAATTCACAGCGAAAATTTGTACGCGTATCCACTGTTTAACAAATATCGCTCAGTTCCAGATGTTTTCAGTTTACTCGATTCAAACAAAGACTAAAGTGGAGATTCTTAATGCTATTCAGACCCAAGATATCGCTGTCAACGAAGATTATCCAACATAATAGTTGATATAAAGAATAAAATATTAGCACCAGAATCAGTGAAATGTACTTTTCAAACACAAATCTCCCTGGAAATTCAGTTTATAGCAACTATTTTTGTAACAATAATTATTTATTTTCTTTCTAGTTTCAGTAATCGAATTTTAATTGATTACGTTAAAATATCTTTTCAACAAGTACAGTGAGACTCGATAACTATTATCAAATGCAAAATTACTAGCAAATAACTTCATGCGCTTAAATGAAAAGGTCCATTCACCATGCTAACTACATATATAGCCCTATAAGCATGATTTTATTCACAAAAATATTTTGGAGTTGAGAATTATAGGGTTGGATTGTTGCTGATTTAATAAAAATAATGATCACCCGTTATTTTATTTGCATGAAATGAAATCAAAGAAACAATTGATGAAAAGTAGCTCATTAAGCTGAGACTGTAGCGAAGCAAAACCATCTTTCAGATTCTATATTTAAAAGATTGTTACTAACAGTGACATCGTAAGGAAACATTACCTTTCTGGATAGTATATTCTTCTATTCACAAAATATTTTGAAGAAATATTCAACCCCACTAATAATGAATTTGTTGATTATCATATCATGATTAACTTTGGTAAATTTGGAAGCTGAACCTATTTTTGTTGAATTGTTTCAGGTCATCGTTCTTGATACATGTTTGCTGTTAAATACAGACATCAATGAATTGTGGGATCATTTCAGATATTTTAAATCTTCTCACGTAGGTCCTTGTATGATTTTATAAAGATCTTACCATATAGTTAGCAGTTACTAGAGGGTTGTTTGCTTGTTTGTTTGAACACATAAATACTGGTACAAGGGGGCACCAGATACATATGCGCCACACACATCTCATTTGGTTTGTGTGAGGGCTGTGATACTGCCCGGGGCCCAAACCGAAACAGGTGGATTCCTTAGGTGGCCACATCCGGAGCCTTCGATATGAAAGTCTGATCCACAAGGCAGTGGAGCATCGTAAGGAGATGCAGTCCCATGGTAACCGGTGACCAACGATTGGTTCCTACGCCATTTGTTCCTTCAGGATACTGGAGTGTTATGACCTTGAATCGCTTTTTACCCCGTGATACTTGTTATGACTTCACCTTGATCTGTCTAGTCTAAATTATGACCTTGACGCGTTAGGGTGAGCGGTTTAACCTTGAGTCTAATACGCGTGAGTTCCGGATAGGGTAGAGAGAACTATTCTAAATCCTGATTGGTTGGCAGGCACGCAAGTGAAAGAAGACAAGACAGTTGGAACACTGGACTCTGAATTCTCTGAATTCGGATTAGTACAAAAATGTACATGAATAAATAAGTGAATATCTTGACCACGACGTACGATAATTTGGAAAAATACAGTTATGCCCGAAACAGGGAATTAGGGTAGAAAATACAGTGCAAAATATTATGTTTAAATTACAATATTTTCGGAACAAAAAAAAGGTATGCTAGTGAATGATACATAGAACGAAAGCTCGTGTTATGTAGAATAAGATAGGGACAAAAATAAATATAAGTGTTTTACAGGGTTTGAATGAAATGCAATAACGTCCCAAGAAAATAGCTTTCGTAATTGTCTGGTCTTCTTAATTCCCCGTTCATAACATGGAGTCGATGTGCACCACTGGTTTGAAATCAGGGTTTTCCAACTTTACAAGGAGGACTCTCCATGTCCACCAACCCAGTTAAAGCGCCGGACATTCGCTTTTCGTCCTCTCAATTTCGTAAACAACACCCGTAGTGCGAGAAGGCAGTGAGTATGATTCCCTGGCAGAGGCTATATACACGTGGCCATGTGAGAGCATTTCGAGAGGGAGAATGGACTCTCCTCACTCTCGGCCTTACCAGGGCATTTGGGGGCAGTTACTAGAGGGTGATAGCCAAGAAACAACTACCTTGCGGACATTCGCACCTAAAAATATTGGTTTATGAAGATTACTGTAAGCAGTAGTTTACTTTCACTCGATGTAAATGTTTTTTTGCTTTTGTGTATTTTGAAGCTACATTTAGTTCTACACTTCTTACCTAGTTCGGTAGATGCATCCTTTCATTCTTATATTTAGGACGCTTATAGTTCCACAACATACTTAAAAAGTTAATGGATATGAACATGAGTTGAATCCTACTGAAACAAGTTAACTAATTACCATCTGAGTTACCCTATGGCTGAGAAACTAATCAGAATTATGTAAAGATCTTACAAATCAATAGTTGTTAAGGTATCGTTTAAGGACCTACTACTGGTGTTATATCAACTTCGGTTGCTTCAACCTTACTATTATAGCCTATCAAACAATAACCGTCGTTTTATAAGTATCTATGGATATTTGGCACACCCAAAAATGTTTGTTCATAATTAGAAAACACCATAGAAGAATTAATATATACTACACTAGTGCTTCAGATAATACTATAAATAAAACGAAGTACTTATTAAAGTTGACTCAAAATGTTTGTTTCTTCAACATCAGATAGTAAATTGTTTAAAGAAAGGTAATAAAACAATTTCTTACTGATCATTTATCCTTTAGTGAGGGTGAAATTATGGAAAAGACTACACCGTGAAATATGTTGGTCTAGTAAACTGAGTAATATAAGCAATCTTCTTTACTACAGTAAATAGACTATTATTCATCCAATATAAGATTGTCTTCATCATCAAATAATCTGTAATAATAGTGACAAAAATCGCCTAGAAATATCAAATCACAACCTATTAGCTCATCTGTAACTCATTAGACGTAAAATCCTTGGATTCGATATCCTAGGTAACGCGATATGTTTACCATGGATAAATTAGAAGAATTCTCTGTTAATGAGTGTCCTTTTCAATAAATACTTGTTCATGATATAACCTGTCTTTAGGGATGACACATATTTCGTTTCCAAAAAAAATTAAGCACGAGAATGAATAAACATATAATTTATATTGAGTCGCTACCAACGCTTTTTTTTCGCAGATTTTAGGAATGACAATGGAACAAAATCCCGAGTTTGAGGTTGTCATGAAGAGTCTAATTAGAGGCTGGAGAGTAAGTAAAAACAAAAGATTTTTAATTGTAGTGGAGAATTTGTACTTACTATTATTCACAGTAAGATTATTTAGAATCCGCTGATTCCCATCTAGTTAATTTTTTCCGTGATAATGTAAAGTATGCATATATAAGCATATTTGATTTAACCAATTAGAAACATTTGTGCAATTTAATATGTCAAGGGAGACGAACACCACAAGTTTGAGTTTCAAGGAAACATCAAATGTTACATTTCTCCACTTATGTTATAAAAGTTGGAAGTACCAAGCACCTGAATCGGTTTAGCAATTCCACCATAATTCCTCGATCAATTACCCAGTAGACTGTATCCTTCAGTACAATAGCAACACCTCCAGCAGTGTAAGATAATTTAAAGAATATCCTTAGTATGATTTTTAATCATGTGTATAAACACTAGTCCATTTTCTGTAGAGTGGCAAGCTTTGTATTTTGTGTATATCAGTTTGTGGAATTCGATTATGATAAAGTATCAACTGTACACACTTGATTTTCCATAAGTAGTACAATGAATCCACAGTTCTGAACAAACCACTACTATTTCGAATTCAAAAATAAATAAATAAGTTCTATAAGGCAGTATTGTAAAACGTGATTTCTTAAGTGATAAAAGTATTACAATGTTATATTAGCTATAACTTTTCACAGTAGATTAGACCAGTAAATAGATCCACATAGATCGCTTAACACTCCAAATACTCCTGGCAGGCTAATTAAGGCATTAACGAAGTGAATGATCATACAGAATTGAAATGGGATAACTAAATTACCCTTAACGCTTTTAATGTTATTTATCTAAAACTGAAGTTCGCATGAACCTACTCAAAGCGTTCAAATAACTGGGTATCAATTTTACATTATTATTAAGTCTAGCAGTTTTCCAATTTTAAAATACCCCATAACTTGAAGAGCTTCGAACTATCGAAATGTTGATAAAGAAATTGTGTCCTTTTTGCACTAATTATCAACAGTATTTGTGAGAACTTAATCGAGTCAAAATTACTACATGTAAACACCAGAGGACTTAAATCTTAGCTGAACTAACGTTTCTGAACATCTTTAAGATTGATTTGGGTCTCTTAATTACCAACACTGTCCACGTCAGAAGAACTAGTAACCAACAGATGAATTAGTACAGTACTTCACTGCATATATTAGTGATCCAACTAGGTTATTCGTGGTACTAATTTCGTTCAGACCTAAGATTAACTACACATCCACTTACCATAGCCACTTTCATAATAGTGTTTGTCAGTTGTGGCTATCGTAAATTAGTTAAAGTTGAACAGACTCATTGTTCACAAAATGTAAACAGTTTTTAAAAAATCCATTTTTAAAGCTTATGTTCAAGTGAATCCAAATTATTGATGGTTAGATAGTTTACTACAAACGTGCATCACATACATCTCAGTTATTGATGCTCAAATCCAAATCAAATAAAAGACAGCATGAATTCGAACCCATTATAATACTTTTTTCGAGATTATTGATTGGTCTTGTTGGTAATTGTTCATAATCTTGAGACAAACTTTCACCACAACTACCTTTAAACGAGTACAATAAACTGATATCATTAGTGCCTCACAACTTGGTATGGTTGTAATTATGCATCTTTTGATTATATTACAATGATCAACAATTATATTGTTGTAAGCAATGATGGGTAGTGGCTAGCAGTGGAATCCAAGACGCTCGTTTCATCCATTTTGGGACTCGTCAGCTGGATGCACCTGCATCTCAGAGTTGATGTTCACTCTGGGACTCGAACCCAGTACTAAACGCTTCAGCTACTGAGTCCTGCTAGCCACTTGTTTGTGCAACGGGGTGAATTTAAATTCACTTGTTATTGTTTGGCATGTATCTTCCCATTGAGGTTTAAGACTGCAATCGATCAGTCTGTTATTGGCGTATATGCATACTGTACGTATGCCTCGATATTGCCTTAATTCACAAGCTTTTTGTAAGCACGTCCCATATAGGACGAAGCGCGCGTCCTGAATTCCACTGCTCGCCACTATCCATCACTGCTTACAAAAAGCTTGTGAATTAACACATTATCGAGGCAGTCCGCACACCATGCACATATGCCAGCAACAAACTGATCGATTGAAGTCTTAAAATTCAATACCAAGTAAATTACATTGTTGGTTAAATCTGACTAACATCAAATGATTCATTTGTGTACAAAACAATTGCTAGAAATACCTAATTCATAGAATATTTTCACTCAGTTTCATAGATCATTCACTCTAAAACTTCTGTAATACAAAAACGTTTATAAATATAAGAATATCTGTGTGTAGCATTGATAGCGATTAATGGTTAGATACATTTGAGCATCTTTTTAACTAATAAAATTTGATATTTTAAACTGCTTCTTTTACTAGTGAATTAATCGTAGTATTTTTGACAACCTTAAATACCGAGAATATTATGATAGAGTATGAGATAAACTAGATACAGTACTATGTTTAACTAATTTTGTCATTCATGTATCTAAATTACACTAGTGATCATTCTGTCAAACATTCCATTGATAAATATGCATGCATAACAATTTTTAAAATTAAACTGAAACAACAGACCTATTGTCTAATAATCATGACAACAGTAATTTATTTTGACAAATATATGCTTCCAGAATAACTCCGCTCAGAAACCTAACTGATATTTTTCCAAATGAAATTGACATATCAATAATATCATGTAAATAATAGTTTTGTGAATGAGGAGTCAGCATATTGAAAATAAAAGCCTTGACAGTCAATGATATCTTTGTTCGAGATACTATTTAGTGCTCTTTCAGTTCTTATTGGTTTTCATTATGAATTAAGGTCAACTGAAAAACGACTCAGAACAAGTAACCATGAGATAAATTTCGATAATGATATTAGAAGACGAAGATTATCAGAACTATGTGATATATTAGCGCACAAAATTTCGAACAATCTGGTCACACATATACTTGTTAAGAGCATTTATATATAAAAAAGAAAGGTCAACTAGACAGAAAACGGGGTAAGAGGAGATAAGGATAATGATAAGAGTAATAATAATAATCATGTGAACACAAAGCGAAACCTAATCACTCTGGATAATAAGTCAATATTACCAGGGTAGGTTTAAGGTGAAAGAACAAACTGTTTTTGAGCACACAGAAGGGGTTTGAATTTTCGTATGGCTAAGGCTTCAATAAACCTTAGTATATGCCCTTTTACACATTTATACAACAATACAAAAGCTGAATTTAGATCAATCTTGTGACCTGTTTCAATTATATGTTTAGCAATAGAGGATAATGGATGTTTATCCTCTGCTCTTATTGGGTCACTTGATTGTATTTGTTTCTGCAGCCATTTGGGTACATGTTCACTCACCCTAATGTTGAGATCACGATTGCTCCTCCCTGCGTATGTGTGACCACACACACATTTAAATTGGTAAACACAGTGGGATGTGACGCAATCGTTTCCATGTATTTTAGGTTTTGAATGAAGCATGCACCTTGTTCTTTCTTTGATGATGACCTTTGCTGCACAATAGGTTTTATTGATGACTGATTTAAGTCTTTGTTTCAATAAAAGGCTATTTGAATCACCTCTGAATGGTAAGGTGATGTAGACAGGCTTTTTCTCTACCGATGCTACATTAGGTCTCGCTGTACCATGGACTTTCCATCTATTTATGAATTTCAGAGGAGAGCCATTTTCTATTAACGTTTTATTTAACAACTTAACATCATCAATTGCGTCATTGGTACAAATATGGTCGAGTCTGTTGAAAAGACACCTTATCAAACCACGTTTGTATTGCACAGGTCAATAACTATAATAACTAAGATATTGACCTGTCCACGTTGGTCTTCTAAAAATAGATCACTTGACTGAGCCATCTTCTCGTCTACTTAGAAGTATATCTAAGAAGGGAAGCTGATCGTTTTTCTCTTCACATGAGAGAATAATATGGTTTTGGAGTGTTAAGTTTATTTAATAAACGGTACATAGTTCTGAAAATCTTCGTCTTCTAATAGAACCTTAGCTAACAATCAATTTATTCAGTATTATCTTGGTTGACGATGACTGACTGAAATTCTAAATGATTAGGTTTTGGAAATGAGCTTAAGATTAAAATCAATAAATACGTGGATTCACGTTTTAGTAATTATCTATGTACATAACCTTAGATCTAGTGTGATGATTATGAGTATTTAAATCATTGTACGAATTAGGAATTCCAGAAATAACACAATTTTACCAAGAAGAATTATATGAGCACTGACGAACGTATTGTATTTGGAATTCGAAATCAAGCACTCGTCAAGTACAAAGGAATCATTAGTTCATACAAACATCGTATCTATACACCACATACAACTATTGATTATGAAACCTACTTACACTGATTAAAATATAGAATGCACTTCTATTCATAGTTAGTTTGTGTTCCCTTACCTAAGTAATAACCTTGTTTTATATATGTTATGTGATTAGCCTACGGTAATTTCTAATTACGAACGATTCAGATTCTTCTTATACGGACGGAACTAATGCCAACTCGGCAGGTGGGAGGACTAATACACAAAACTTCAACAATAACCCAGGATTCTATGGAACACATGACAAATTTAGGAGTTCATGTAAAAATTGCTATTCAAAAGGAAGACAAATAGAGTGTTGAACATATGTGTATATGCAACAACAAACATGATCTAAGGATACAGTAAAATTAGCAAACAAAAAGTAAAAACAACCACTCAAATAACAATAAAGGTTGTAAGAAAATATCCATTAGAACAACTGTTATGACGGTTATTGTCACTGGAAGGAACTAACGTTTATTTGCAAAAAGTTAGATAAACTTAGATCGCTCTAGCAGCAAAATTGTTCCAACTTAATGATAATCAGTCTCAAATTTGTTCACAGTTAATAGTAGTAATCATTTGAATTAGAACGTTTGATGAAATAAGATTTTAACGATTAAGGTCGAAACAAGAGAACATTTCCAAAATAATAATGAGGCGGAATTCAATCACTTATCCCAACCCATTCCATGTATATTGGTTATTTGTGGATAGTTTCTATTACGAGCTGATTTCATGTTGATAATCATTGAGAACTAGGCAGAATTGAAAAAAAATGGTTTGTCTTAGTTCAGGGTTCCTCTGTAGTCCACACATGAATTCTGTTAGGGGACAGACCCAAAACATTTAGTTTTTGGACCAGGCACGTTACATTTAAACCTCTAAATTTTCCATAAATCATGGTCCAGCCGATTTCTGGTTTAAAACATTGACATAAGCGTTTAAGTATTCCACACTCGACATGGTTGAACTCCCCTACACACGACATTTCACTAGAACATCGGGATTCAATATCGAACTCAGTCACTACTGAGCATTTTACCACCATTATCAAGGTGGGTCATTTCTTCAGACTGGTTCAGTTTAAATAGTTTTTGCCACATACTGTAATTAATGGAATAATTATATTCGTTATTTTCTTAGCCACTTGTCACTGATGAAAATGAACGAGACAGACGTACACTAGTGTTAAAATATCATTTCCAAGCTCAAAATACTCTTTGTAATTTGCAATGCTCTTAAGTTACTTAACCACACAATAGATTGTTGCTAGGCTATTAACAGTTTATGCAATGAAAATAAGCTATATGTTTGAATATTTATTATCAGTTTCCAAACATTACTTCCAATTTTATAACCTAATTTTTTATCAGTGATCAATATGGTCCGCATTACAGGTTGGTAGTACTAAGAAACCATTTAGAATCAGGGGATATCAGGTATTTCTTTCATATTTTAGTACAACGTTTGGTTATAAGTGTTTTCACAGATTTCCTAACATTGTCTTATCAACATCATGCTTTTTATTTCAGGGTTATGGATATAATAGCGGAGTTGTTTTAATGGACTTAGCTAAATTACGTTCAGCAGCATGGAACCATTTATGGATGAGTGCTATTAAATTTGTTATGAAGGCAACGCGTTATTTGTCAGCTGGGGAACAAGTAAGCGATTATCTTTTTTGTTAATCTTTCCGGAAATAAACAAACTAATTAATTTTCCCATGTGTTTATATCCTCCCCCATCGCATTTCGGAAAGTGACTAACATTTAAATTCAGAAGGCACATTTGTCTTGTTTGGGACCCATCAACTGAATGTTACTGCATTCAAACTTTGATGTTTGCTTTAAAGTTTGTTTGCTCTAGTCATCGTTTCGAATTGAGATAATAAAATGTTCTGAAATTACAAAATAAGTAAGGTTAAAATAACAATAACTATACTAGGTTGGTAGATATTATTTGAAATTGCTAATTTATACTATCTACTATTCTACAATGACTGCTGAAAAGTTGTTTGGTATCATTTACTCTAAGTAACACTTGATAAGTGGAGGCGATTTAAGGCAAGCTGCTTAGATTACTTTCCTGTTAATCAGTTGTCATCAACAAGATAAACTTCAGCATTTAGAAATTTATACTTTGTAAAGGGATTCAAACTAGATACATTCAGATCCACAAGGAAGAGAATTAACAAGAGATGTTTATGTGTAGACTACCATCTGTAAGACTAGACTAAGTACATTGGTGATATAAAAACTAACTGCAGACTCTGCAAGTAATCAAACTTACGTCTCATGTAAGTATTTCACAAAAATATTTCTGTTCATTAATCCAACCTATTGCTGCATAATTATGGTACAAAATCCTTCTCCATTTATCTATTAAATAAATCAAATTTTTCATTTGATGCAACCTGATCTTTTTTCAAACAGACTCAATGAATATTTATTAACTTATATAAATTACGGTTTTTCAACGTGGACTAAATGAATAAAGTATGGTATACAGTTTAATCCAACAGTGATAGATAAAATAACTTTGCTTAGATAGATATAAGGAATCCAGGTTGTACAAACAGTCTTGGTATCTACATCATCGTATTCAATTTATCGTTCGTAAGAGATGCATCCTTTTCAACTTAGTTAATTATCTGAACAATTCTGGATATTATATATTGACATAGAATGCTTATTTATAACGTTTGTAAATAGTTATGCAGAATTTCTTAACAATAGGTTGCGCAACACCTAACTGGCATAACACTTATCAATGTATTTTTATTTTATCCAAGGGTGTTATAAATTTAATCATGTTTAGAAACAATGAGACATTTTACAAAATACCATGTGAATGGAACATACAACTCAGTTCAGGTGTTGATGTACACAGATGTCCAGTTAGTTGGTTGGCTGAAAATTCTCTGTTAAACAACAGGGATTTAATGTATGGGAAACAACCTAAAATTGTGTACTTAAACCATCAAGTAAAACCGGAATATCTGGACTTGGAAAATATATTAAATGTTGATACCAATGTATCACTTACGAATTATAATGGTAAGTATCATTAAAATTACTAATGAAGTGTCCTGGTAGGCATTGGATACTTTTGTCCAGAGTCTGACAGTAGTCTTTAAAGCATTAATCAAGTATAAAATTTGAATTCATCATATAGATGACATATTTTGAGACACCTGTTCGTTGATTTGTATCTTGTTTTGTCTTATGGTCAAAGACTCTTACTTAGCTCTCCCATTATCTATGACTAGGTTTCGAAAGCTAATTCACATTTAAAGGGAAAGTTTGATAGAAATGAAGTTAATTCTTTCTGAGAGATCTAATATCTGTCCAGAAGGACCATCGATACTTTCCAAAACTCCCTGATTGCTTTTGTATGATATTATGTTGTAGCCAAAATAATTTCCACCTCATAATCAGCTTGCTCCATCACAACCTATAGGCTAAATTAATCTGAAACAACCCATCACTATTTATGATATTGACAATCAAATCATATGATTTAATATTTCACAAGTATTCAGAATAGACACTTTATGGACACTTTATAGACACTTTATGTATTATGTAATCTTGTTTCAATCAAAATAGAATTTGTAATGAAAAGCAAAAAAAAGTCATTTTATAAGAGATTTACTTATTACGTAAATGATATTCATGATAATATACAATGACATATTAAATAATGATTATTTTTATTCAATAAATGCAGAGTAACCTGTACCTTATAGATGCTTAATTATAATGTGAATGAGTTGTAAATTCATCAGTTAATGCTTTGGAAATGGCTTGTATCAGTAGCCAAATTTAGTTGTCAGTATTGGGTTGTAGAGATTGTTAAATTCTTATTGTGATCACAAGACGATTCAGGTTAGATATCTAATGAAAACAAGGAAGCACTATCCGGCCGCTTCGTCCTAGTATGCGACTCTTCAACAGTGCACACCCACGAATCGAGCTCAGGATCACCAGTCTCGTGTAAAAACAATTAACCTTTAGACTACTGGAACGGGCACTAATGATTCAAAGGTTTAACTTCAACCAATCTGTGAATAAAAAACTCCCATGGCTCGAAGCTGAAAGATCGATGTAGAGGTCGTGGATAAGTACTGCTGAGGAGTCCCATACTGGGACGAAGCAGCCATCAAATGCTTACAGGTTTCCAGTAGTAGTCCAAATTTTATCGGTTAATGATTTAAACTAAATCCATTACTCACCAGAACTGAATATTAATAATATCATACCGTCACTTCAGTCTTATAAACAGAAATGAGCAGTTTTTAATTAAGGACACTTCGATTATAGGAAAATACCTAAGCTTTACTCAGTATAATAAACGACTATTTTGTTTTCGGCCCACAGTCTACACATTACTACTGAATGTTTAAGACTACAAATGAAATCGCAGACAAGTTTAAACAGCGATTATATCATTAAACATCTACCAACCCATACATGAAATTAGAAACAGATTATATCTGAAAATTTTGTTCCCCAATAGTGTATCATGGAAAAGAGGAACAAATGTTTTTGATTTTAGAAAAGACATCTTACATCAGACAATATAGAATGTTTTTTATTTGTCCATAAAACATTAAGAACGTTCATTATACAAATATGACCTTGGGAAACAAAAACTATCTTTGACCAAATTCGTTTTAAGACAGATTTAGGTTATTCACAACATTTTAATCGTTTAAAGGTCTCCGTCATATTAAAAGACTAATATTTGAACGAAGAATATTCTTTTCTATAAATTCTATTCAGGTTCTACAATTATATATCCAAATTAATAATCGGAAAAATGGCCAGGTTAAGGGCAAAGTACATCGTTTAAAGCATGTGAATTGCGGAGTATGTTTTTAAAAAAATACAATAAAATTGTTAATTTTTTGATTGAGATCATGAACCGATTGGTGTTAGACCACCATCGAAAAACTGAAAACGGCCGTCTAGTGCTTCCAGGTTTTCAATGGTGGTCTAAAATCAATCGGTTCATGATCTCAATCAAAAACTTAACAATCTCCACAACCCCTAAACTGAAATTTGTTAATGTTGATATGACTCATATAGAATGTTAACTTGAATCTGCGTATATGTTGAGTGAAATTTTAAAATCCATGATCAGAATATATATGGGTCAAATAGGGTGAGAGAGAAATTACAATTCGATAAATTAAGTAAGACGTAATACGGAGGGATGAATGCGAAGTGAATGGATCGTGTATAGGGGAGATTAATAATGACGTTTAACCAATAATACGAATAATAATAATAATGATAATAATAATAATAATAATAATAATAATAATAATAATAATAGAAAGACTTATGAATAAAGATAACAGAGACAGTTACAACTGACTACGAAAGGTCATAGTCAAGTTAGACCATTCAATTAGTTAAGATTACGATTGATTAATAAGTCTTGATGTTGGCCAGGGGAGGAGGAGTGGTTGAATATATTTCTTCTGTACGCATAGCTCCGGTTTCTTCATCCGAATGGCTACTCCTTCAGCCGTTTGACCAGTCTGACCAGTTTTGGCAAAAAATTACTGACCTTATAAATAATTGAAAAAGATTGGTTTATACTTGTACTATAACCGGTTTGTACAAAATGGGCCAATATTGAGCTGTTCACTTTCTTCATCAAACCTTTGTTTAGCCACGCTAGAAAGTGTTCACGAGCACGAAAATGTAAATTCCTAGAACTTCGACCAATATAACTCGCTCCACAGGAGCAGTCGAACTGATAAATACAAAATGAGGTAGTCATTCGAAGTAATTCATCTTTTAGCCTCAGTGTAACCATTGGGCGCGTAGAAAACACTAATCGCAGTTCTCTGGCGTCAAAAGATTTTTGTATTGTCCTACGTAATCTCTGAGTTAATATTTCACTAGCCGCATCCACTCTGAATTGTAGACGCATGAACAGGGATTTCTTCTTCACCGTTTGTATTTCGCCTATTTTCGCCTTCATGATCCCTGAGAGTATTATGCAAGCGCTTCAAATATATCAGTAGAACATATAGTGCGTATACGTAACTAAGGGTTTTGATCAAGTTTCGTTTGTACTGTAGAGGTACAAAGCTCAGGAAATGCGTATACTGCCCAGTCTATGTACTTTTACTGTTTGAGTTCATTTTTAACGATCTATCCGCTCTCTTAGTCAAGAGAACGTCCAAAAAGGCTATTCGGCCATCACATAATAAACAAGTTTTCTTCAATCCATCAACTCAATAATTAATTTCAGTCGGATTTTTAAATCTGCAAATATATTGCCTACTTCACTGGTGGAAAATTTCACCTTCAATGCATACATTTGATTTGAATTATTTGTTTTGTTTCGTTTTTTTTCGTAGCTAACTTACTCTACATGGTGTATCTTAAAGAATATTTTAAATATCGACATATCAGTCAAAAATGTTTCTATTAAACCCGGAAAAATGCACTACATTTACTGGAAAGCATTTTCTGTTGTTACAGTTATATTTGTATACCCTTTATATGAAGCTGATATGTACACATATATCCAAGTTGAAAAAAATTTCATTAGTAAATAAATGAATCGTTGTAAATCCAAGTTTATGGTTGATAGTTTTCAATCTCAGTTTACTTAAACCAATTGTTCTTCAAAATTCCTTTTATCCTCTAGGTACTCTTTTGGCAGCATCAAATTACATCTCAACTTTTGACATTCTCACCGTCAGCCAATATATAATATAGTGAAACCAAAGATTCCAGGCTAAATATCTTAATGAATTCTTTATTCGCAGTTCTAAGAAGTCCCAGAATAAAATTTTCATAGTTTAATAATGCCTGAATAGTTCAATTAGAAAGGGAAGTCTATCAAAGTATGTTATACATTTATACAGTGATATGTATCATGAAACTAATTACTGTTCGGACAATAGCAAAAACATAATGAAAACTTTAATTCTGATTATAATCTAAAACCTACAGAAATTATATAACTATGGAAGCATAAAGATATGTAAATCTATTGAAATGAATAAAGTGTATACGCATGAACTAAAAGGAGAATGATGTTATCAAATGATTAAATTGAATCTTAGAAGAAATAACATATGTACCAACTAATATATGAAAACATTTGTAACTAAGATAATAATATCGACAACAAAACTAACTCGTGAAGTCAATGATAATGTCTCTTTGACCATAAGTGCCTTGGAATTCAGTTTGTTTTTCTACAACCCGAACAAAACACACAACTAGGTGGACTTACGGAGCAATAAAACAACTAGAATCCATTTTGTGGTTTTCGATAATGATTAATAGGTCTCAAAGTCCAGCCGAATCCAATCGCCGATGTCTCATAATGACTTTTAGGAAGTTATTAAACCTTCACAAATCGTTTAGTAAACCGCCTCATCAAGCTACACAATCGTATTAGTTAAACAATCGGCTAAAATGCCTGTCTTTATGGTAGAGATAAACAGTCACATTGGAAGCGCTGATAGAAGATTGTATAAGAAACTGGGAAATAATTGGATAAAGACACGTTACATTTTGATCACAATAACATAATCACTAAATAGTCTAAAATTTATAGTAAAAAATGTGTTTGCAACAAAGTTATAGGCTTCTTTGTTTTCGGTCTCATTTCGCCACAAATCAAGCTTCGTATGAACATAACCATTATATATATATATATATATATATATATATATATATATATATATATATATATATATATATACTGAATGCCTATTACCCATCGTAGAGTATGACTTGTCAAATGGAGATCTCCGACCAACTTTGTTATGGGTTCTCGTTTTTAATAGTGTCCGACGTGCACTTCATCTATAGGGGGTGTCCTATCAACCAACCCCCAGCTTCTTTTCCTAATTTTCTCTCTAGTCGGAAGTTGGTTTGTTCTCTCTCATTGTAGGTTGTTACTGATGGTATTCGGCCACCGGATTTCCGGTGGGTTCAATGGAGCTGGTCTATTCAACAGCTCTTCGGAGTGATCTGCTCACCTTTTCCGCTGTTCTTGAATCCCAGTGATCGTCTTGAGTGGTCGCTCTGGTTTATTATATTTCCCTTCAAGTTTCTTTGTTGTGTCATATAGTTTTTTTAATATATCCTTCCCTTGCAGCTTATTCCTCTATCGTTGATAGCTTTTCTACGTATTTCCGCTTGGAGGCTCTAATACTCCACTTCACTCTCTTGTTTGCTTCAGTATATTCAGCCCGTGCCTTGACTTTCTCTATTCTTGTTTGGCTGCTGTTAATTGCTGTCCTCTTTTTCTTCCTTTCTTGAATCCTGTCCTGGGTTCCTATAGAGATCCACCATTCCTTCTGATGATGTTTGTTGCGGCCCAACACCTCCTGACACACTGAAGTTAGTACCTCTTTGATCCCTTTCCGGTTGTCCTCCATAGTAGTTTCCTCTTCTTTAATTAGATCTTGTAAGGCTTAGAACGTGTTGCTGGAAGCCACCTTAAATTTATTGAGTCTTTCAGTGTCTCTATTGAAAGTAGTATTAAACCTACGTAATGCTGTTTCTGCAGTTGTCCAGTGCTTCTTTAGCTTCAGTTTCATCTCAACAACCACCAGGCGGTGATCTGAAGCTATCACAGCTCCCTTCTTTGTTCGCACGTTTTCCATGGATCTGAATTTTTTATTGATCCAGACATGATCGATCTGATTCTCTGTAGTGTGATCCGGTGAGACCCAGGTAGCTTTGCGTATGCGTTTGTGGAAGAATATAGTGTCATTTATAACCATCTTGTTGCAGACACATAGATTCGTAAATCTCTCATCATTTTCGTTTCTTTTTCCCAGTCCATGTCGTCTTATGATGTGTTCATACATGGAGTTTATCATTTCGACTTTGGCGTTTAGGTCTCCCATCAGGATGGTCAGGTCTCTTCCTAGGTATTTCACCGCGATGAACTTCAGCCTCTCACAAAACACTTTTTTATGGTCTCCACTACTATCATTGGTAGGTGCATGGCACTGTATAACATCCGTTGTAATTCTTCCCTTCTTTGTGTCTGAAGGATACTCTGATGATCGTTTATCCACGAAATTCTCATACTATGCCTTTTGGAGCTTCCTTAGAGAGCATCGGTGCAACTTTTCGTGTGAGCGAGGTATCTTGTTGATGACCAGAATACAACAGCACCCCTCCTGAAACTGATCTTTTTTCTTCACTCAGTCCAAGCACCTCCACGAGATATCTTTTTATTCAGGTTTTTGAACTATCCTCTCAGTGCTCCATATTGTTAGGACATTCCGTGTACCTATATTAATTTTTGCTCTGGTTATCAGAATGGGCATCGGTATTATGACTTTCGAAGAATATAACGTCTGGTTAATTATTTCGAACTACATTAGAAGTTCGGTATTTAATTAAAAATTATAATCATAAATATATAAAATATGGAATACTGTAGAAATAAAAGTCTTCAAGGTTGTTTGAATATTTCTGTTTTTGAATTATAGTAAAAACTAAGGTCATTTATTAGTGATAAGAACAGCAGCCATGGAATTCAAATCATTTAACGTAACAGTCATTCTGATTCTACACACTGTGAATTTTTCAAAACTTTGATTGATTGCCATAACATTGAACATATAATTGCACCCCAGAATAGATTCAGTATGTCAAGTATGATACCCAAAATAAAATAAATTTTGAAGGCATCAATAAGAAATATCCGTTGTGCTTCACTGGTATGATGATGTATATTGTAGGATACCAAATACCAAAATGGAACAGCACAAATATTTCTTGTTAGAATAAATGTGACGGCAAATAAAGAGGTTGCTATGGCAACGTATTTGTGATGTGAAGAATATCCACATGTACGCAGAAACCACCTGTTTAGGGAGCAGAAAGACAAAAAGTTCATCAATAGACATATTTTTGTTATCCTCTAAATTGGATTACTAAAACATACATATATCTGTATTTCACATAATCTTAGGATTAAAAATAAAAAAGGTGAATGCAAACGTAGAAAATACAAGAGTTGGTTACCGAAATTTCTAAACTAGAAAATGGGTTATCTTTGTCGTCATATAATAATAAACTAATCACAATGCCATTTAGCTATACAATTTATAGACAAGATTGAAAACTCTTTTACAAAACCAACCTAGTTTAAGTTTTTTCATTTCAATACTGTTATAATTGTTTATGATGTGACTTGTCATTTAATTGTAAATGAATATGACGTAATCCTGACTGACTAGCGGTGATAAAATCTGGATTTACCTAACTAGCGTCATGAACATTCTGATTTGTATTGATATAAAAGTACAAAGATTGTTTCCATTCTTAATCAATGGGAACTATAAGACAACTTAAATGTTAATAGCTGCTAACAGTTTCTTCCAAATAAACAATATTCAGCCACTTTCAAAATCGTGACTGGAAGGATTGAATTACGTTTTGTTGAAATTTTGGGAACTTTTGTTTTACGACATAGTTACAAGTGAATGAATTATCCATACAAATTTACTTTTTTATCTATAGCAGACCTTGAAGTAGGTGTTAGGAGCCTTTATGATACTAGATATCTGGGTCTTGTCGTTCCATCATAAAGCTATTTATCTGAATCAGTAGTCTAAATAAGCATACACTCCTCGTGAGTCGTAAGATTATCCATTTAAACCATAAGGAAATTAAAACACCTGATCTTACAGACATTTATCATTCAAACACCTTCAATTCACTAAAATAGATTCAAGAGAAAAACTACTATAAAGAAGGACTTCAGACATTTTATTTTCAAGGTGAAAACTGAAAAGTCATATGATATTAATGTTAATAGCTGCTTGTATTTGAGTTAATCAAGTATCTTTGTATTGTCCAAATAAATTCAGATATTTCGAAACGGTTTGTACGGAGGCCTTCAAAGTTATTTATTTACAAATACTACCACATAATGCTCTTCATTCTAAAACAATTTTGATAAATGAGAGAAAAACACAAATAGATGCCCCATTACTTGGATACCAATAGTAGCTTCCTCTGAAGTGAAGGTTTTTCTACGATTGCAACAGTAGTATCATTTATCTGTCTATTTTCGTCTAATGTTACGTAAAATATACCAATCCTCGACAATAGGTACATTACTATTTTCTAGCTAAATGATAGTAAATGTTTTTAGATTACTTAAAAGTAGTTAATAATTTTTGAAAACATTAAATACCTAATGACGATATGCGGTTGGTATTCTCGATACAAAATTACGAAATGGAAATAGTCTAGAACTTTCTACAGGCTTTTACAAAAGTGACTTTTGTGTTGGTTGGATTATTCGGATGTATGCATTATGACTGTTAGAAACTTCGTTGTCACAAGAAATACAAAAACACTGATTTCTTCTGTTCCAACCTCCAATCTTTTACCAAAATGACATCTTTTATAAAATCAACTGTTCTAAGCCTTAAAGAAACG